TCGCTACGCCGCCGTCGAGTGGGGGGTGAATTCGGCTAACATGGAGACCCTGAGACACCTTCACGCCTGCCTCAAGTCTATCACCAATGTGCCGGTAGATGCAGGGGGGTTTCTTCTTGTGGTAGGATTAGTTTTTTTGTTGTCTTTTGAAAAAAAATAAAAGTAGGTGAAGTTTCGTTGTTGTTTTTTTGCAGTAGGATTTAACATTCGTAGGGTTTATGGTGTGTTTGTTTTTTTATTGTGTTTTTTGAACAATTAAAAAATAGCTGGTCTCTCTCTCTCTCTTTCTCTGTTTTTGCAGTACGATATAGTATTTGTAGGGTTAATGATGTTTTTTTTGGCTCTTAAATAATTCAAAATAGCTGATGTCTCGGTTTTTCAGTAGAATTTAGTATTCGTAGAGTTAGTGATGTGTTTATTTTTTTATTGTGTTTTTTTGACGTTTAAAAATAGCTATTTAGTGTTAGTGTTAGTGTTGTTTTTTTATTGTGGTATTTTAAACAAACTAGCTGGTCTTGTTTTTTTTTGTAGCAGGATATAGTATTTGTAAGATTAATATCTCTTTTTATTATTATTATGGGCTTTCAAATAATTCTAAATAGCTTTAGTGTCGTTTTTTTTTGAAGTGGGATTTAGTATTCATAGGGTTAATGATACATTAAAAAAATATATATTCTGGGCTTCTAAACAATTCAGAAAGGTCGGCGTCTCGTACTTTTTTTCTGTGGAAGGTTTTCATGCAGTGCAGTCTGTCATATAAAACGGATCTTAAGTGGCTGTGAATGGCAGACCTTAATATCATGCAGATACACCTCTTGCTTTTTATTATGCCTTTTTCCCCCACTTATGTACCTCACCCGTACCTCACCACAGAGAGCATATTAAATCAGACACTTTTTACTCAACGGATAATTTACCTTTACCACGATTACTGTTTTGGTTCTGTTAGCACACCATGAAACGGCTTCAAAGAGGCCAGCTGAATGTGAGGGACTGGAGAACTTTATATAAGGTTAGTTGATTAAGTGGCTTAATGGTAATAATGATGATGATGATGATAATTATGATAACACGGTAATAACAACAACAGTAGTAGGAGTGATAATGAAAATGAAATAAAGATAATGATAATGATAATCATTGTAATAATAATGATGATAATAATATTTATAATGATGATAATAATAATAATATCATTGTTGTTATGATGATGATAATAATAATAGTAATAATGATAATGATAATGATAATGATAATGACAATGATGATGAGGATAAAAATGAGTGATTTCCATCTTCATGATAACATATAGATACGGTTAGCCGTAATGGGCGTTTTTTTATTATCATTTTGTTGATTTATTTCTTCCTTTAATCAATTATTAATTCTTTTACAGTCCCTCTTCAACGCTATACTCGTGGGAGAGATCTGCCAAGCTCAGGACCAAGACATTCCAATCTTCAAGGAGGTGAGAATGCCTTGAGAGAAAGGGGGAGAGAGGGAGAGAGAGAGAGAGAGAGAGAGAGAGAGAGAGAGAGAGAGAGAGAGAGAGAGAGAGAGAGAGAGAGAGAGAGAGAGGAGAGAGAGAGAGAGAGAGAGAGAGAGACAGGGAGAGAGAGGAGAGAGAAGGAGACAGGGAGAGAGAGGAGAAAGAAGGAGAGAGGGGGAGAGATGAGAGAGAAGGAGAGAGGGGGAGAGAGGAGAGAGAAGGAGAGGGAGAAAGAAGGAGAGAGAGGGAGAGAGAAGGAGAGGGAGATAGAAGAAGAGGGAGATAGAAGGAGAGGGAGAGAGAAGGAGAGGGAGAGAGAAGGAGAGGGAGAGAGAAGGAGAGAGAGAGAGAAGGAGAGAGAGAGAGAGAGAGAGAGAGAGAGAGAGAGCGAGAGAGAGAGAGAGAGAGAGCGAGAGAGAGAGAGAGAGAGAGAGAGAGAGAGAGAGAGAGAGAGAGAGAGAGAGAGAGAGAGAGAAATTAAAAGACACAATTATTATTTGAAATGAACTAGAGATGAACATCCATTAAAAAGACACAGATGTTCCTTGAAAAAGTAGAAAAATAAAATAAAAGAAAGACAGATATTCTTTGAGGTGAAATAGAGCTGAAGAACAAATTAGAGGTGAGAGCCCCTTAAATCACGTAGGTCTTCTTTGAGAATGAGGCAGAGTAGAGGAATTAATTATATATAAGACACCCTTAAATCACGCAGGTTTTCTTTGAAAATATTATAGACTTACCATAACGAAGAGTCCTATTTTGTGACGTTTCGTGGCTGACTAGACTCATCATCAGGCGACGAAATTCGAAATGGAGGATTTAAAACGTTATGTTTAATATTCCTCTCGAACTGTGGCTGTGTTTTTTTCGTTTTTTTTTTTTCGTTTTCTGTTTTCGTCGTATGAGTAAGTGAAAGGATAAGAACAAGTGGATATTGGTATATAATCTAGTTTATCTATGATAGTTTTCTTTTCTTTTTATTCCCTTGTATTTTTTATCCACTGATTTTTATCTCTCTTACACCTCTCTGTTTCCTCCTCTTTCTCTCCTCTTGCTCCTTTCCGTCCTTCTCTTTCTCGTCCTTCCCAATTTCACACATCTCTCTACCACTCATCAACCTCCTCCATTTTTCTTCCTATTTTCTCCCCCCTCCTCACTCTTTCTTCCTATTTTCTTCCTTTAACTCTTCCCCCTTTTCATCTATTTCCTTCTCCCCCTCTCTGTTTATTCCACCTATCTATTTCTCCATCTTTCATTTTCTTTCCCACTACCCCGTCTCTCTATCTCGTTCTCCTTCTCCCTATCTATCTATCTTATCTATTCGCACCTTATTATCTTGCCTTTCCTTATTCCCCTTGTCTCTACCTCCTTACTCCTTCCATCCGGTATCCTCCTTCTCTCCTCATCTCTTCTTTCCTCATCTTTCCTTCCCTCTCTTCTTCTTCATCCTCTCTGTATCTTTCTCCCGACTTCCTTCCTCTCCTTCCTCCTCCACGGATCTCCCTCATTTCTCCTTCCTCTTTCTCTCTAACTCCTCTTCCTCTTTTCTCTTTCCTCTTCCTCCTCCTCCACTTTTTTTAATCTTCCCCTTCCCCTTCCTCTCCAACTCCTTTCCCTCATCTTTTCTTCCCCTTCCTCCCCTTTCTATTTTCCTTATCTCTTCCCCTCTTCTTCTTTCTTCCCCTCATATTTCTCCCCAATTCCCCTCCCTCGTTTCCCCTCCTCCCCATCACCCTCACCCTCCTCCTCCTCTTCCCCCTACCCTTCACTCTCTCCCAGACCCTTCCTCCTATACCCCTTCCCCGTCACCCTCCCCCTCCCCTTCACCCCTCTCCCTCTCCCCCTCCTTTCCTCCTTCCCCTCCCCTTCACCCCCTTCTCCTTTCCCCTCATCCCCTCCACCCCCCTCCTCCTCTTCCACCTTCCCTTCCCCTCTCCCCCTCCCCCTTCCCATCACCCCCCTCCCCCCCCATCCCCTTCACCCCTCTCCCTTCCCCTTCCCTTCCCCCATCTCCTCTCCCTTCACCCCTCTCCCTCTCCCCCTCCTTTCCTCCTTCCCCTCCCCTTCACCCCCTTCTCCTTTCCCCTCATCCCCTCCACCCCCCTCCTCCTCTTCCCCCTACCCTTCACTCTCTCCCAGACCCTTCCTCCTATACCCCTTCCCCGTCACCCTCCCCCTCCCCTTCACCCCCTTCTCCTTTCCCCTCATCCCCTCCACCCCCCTCCTCCTCTTCCCCCTACCCTTCACTCTCTCCCAGACCCTTCCTCCTATACCCCTTCCCCGTCACCCTCCCCCTCCCCTTCACCCCCTTCTCCTTTCCCCTCATCCCCTCCACCCCCCTCCTCACTCTTTCTTCCTATTTTCTTCCTTTAACTCTTCCCCCTTTTCATCTATTTCCTTCTCCCCCTCTCTGTTTATTCCACCTATCTATTTCTCCATCTTTCATTTAAAACCACGTTTTTATAACATCGAATATACGCAAACTAATACTATTTATAACTAAATATATTACTTGTTCAATGTTCAATGTTCAATATTCAATGTTTAATCTTCAATGCTTAGTGTTCAATGTTCAATATTCAATGTTCAATGTTCAATGTTTAATCTTCAATGCTTAGTGTTCAATGTTCAATATTCAATTTTTCTCAGAGAAGCGTCGATTCGCCGGACTCGGAGAGGTGATGCGCCGAGTGGCCGAGGTCGAGCTGACCCACCTGCCCCCCGAGGTCGAGTCCTGTTGCATCATTTACCTCCCCCACGTGGGCTACCTCCTCGCCTTCCCGCCCACGCCCGAGCTGGACCAGAGCCTCCACGCCCACGGGTACGACCTGCCGGGGCTCGAGTTCATGTTCCGCACCAGCGACATGATTTTGTACAAGAGTCAGACGTGTCATGGTGAGGAGGAAGCTGTTTTTATTTTACTTTTTTCTATTTCTTTTTTTCTTATTTTTCTATTTATTTTCTAGTTTTTTTTTTCTATTTCTTATTTTCTTTTTATTATATATATATTTTTTCTATTTCTATTTTCCTATTTTTTTATTTCTTATTTTCATATTTTTTTTCTATTTCTTGTCTTATTTTTTTCTATTTCTTCTATTCTTATCTTTTTATATTTCTTATTTTCCTATTTTTTTCTTTTTCTTACTTTCTTATTTATTCAATTTCTTATTTTCTTATTTTTTCTATGTCTTACTTTCTTTTTTTTCTTATAATGTTTTCAAAAGATAGACGCGTCATGGCAAGAGTAAGGTGATTTTAATGCCTTTTTTTCCATGGTTTTCTCCTTTTTATTATTTTTTATCTATCTCTTTTTCTAATAATATGTTCAAGTTCAAGTTCAAGGGTTGTTCTAATTCCTTCTGTTCTTTTCTCATTATTATTGTTGTTATTATCATTATTATTTTATCTTTTTCGCTTTTTTATCTCAGATTTTTTTTTTAAAAATAATTTCTTATGGTATTTAGTTCCTTCTTCAGTTTATTTTTTCCATCACAGAAAATGTTTTTTTTTTATATTTCGTACAAAAAGTCAAGTACGTTATGGTAAGAATATTGGCTGATGTTCCTCCTTCTTTTTAGTTTTCCTGTTATCACGTTTTTATTACCCCCTTTTTTTCGCCTTATCATCTATCTCAAAATCCCGAGCCCCAATAGATAATCTTGCCCCCCTTTTCCGTCTCATTATCTATCTCAAAATCCCGAGTCCCAATGGACAGCCTTGCCCCTCTCCCTTGCCCCTTTTATTCGCCTCATTATCTATCTCAAATCCCGAGTCCCAGTATATAGCCTTGCCCCACTCCCTTGCCCCTTTTTCGTCTTACTATCCATCTCAAATCCCGAGTCCCAATAGACAGCCTTGCCCTTCTCCCTTGCCCCTTTTTTTCGTCTCATTATCTATCTCAAATCCCGAGTCCCAATAGATAGTCTTGTCCCACTCCCTTGCCCCCTTTTTCCCAAGGGAGTCCCAATGGACAGCCTTGCCCCTTTTTTCGTCTCATTATCTATCTCAAAATCCCGAGTCCCAATAGATAATTTTGCCCCACTCCCCCCCTCAGAGCTGGACCGCGAGCTGGGTGACATCCAGGTGGACATCGCCAACCACGAGACCAGGATCATGATGAGGCTGGTGGAAACCCTGCTGCTCCAGGCGTCCACTTTCGTCCACTTGGTGCACCGGATCCTCATGTTGGATTGGTGAGTTTTTATTTTGTGATTAGGTTTGTAATTGTTGTTTTTGTTTTGTTTTTTCGTTTTTTTTTTCGCTTGGTTTATTTTTCTTTTCTGTATTTTTTTTTTGGTTCTTTCTTTTTATGTAATTCTGTGTTTGTGTTTATCTATTTTGTCTCATGTTGGATTGGTGAGGATTTTTTTGGTTTTGAGGTTGAGGGAATTTTTGATTAGGTGGGTTGTTGTTTTTTTTTCGTTTTTTTCTGGTTTGTTTTTCTTTTCCGTGTTTTTTTTTTGTTGTTCTTTTTTTTCTTTGGATGGAATTCTGTGTTTGTGTTTGCCTGTATTGTCTGTCTCTGTCTCTGTTGCTGGGTTTATCTCTGTCTCTGTCTGTTTGTCTATCTGTCTCTCTGTCTCTGTCTCTGCCTCTCTCTCTCTCTCTCTCTCTCTCTCTCTCTCTCTCTCTCTCTCTCTCTCTCTCTCTCTCTCTCTCTCTCTCTCTCTCTTTCTCTCTCTTTCTCTCTCTTTCTCTCCCTCTCCCTCCCCCTCCCCTCCCCCTCCCCCTCCCCCTCTCCCTCTACCTCTCCCTCTCCCCCTTCCCTCCTTTTCTAGATACACACATAGTCAGACGAACAGGAGAGCAGGAACAAATGCAATCAAATAAACAAGACAAGCCAAGCCACATCCCCAAAACAAACGCCATAAACACCCACCAACCAAAGAAAATAATTATCAGCCAGATGAATTCCTTTTTTTTTGTTTTTGTCCAAGCTTACTCTCCTTCGCCGTGGTGTCGCGGGAGTGCGGGTGGGCGCGGCCTCAGCTGACGAAGGAGGCCGTGCTGGAGGTGGAGGACGCCCGCCATCCCCTCTACGAGCTGTGCACGCCCGCCTTCGTCGCCAACCCCGTCAGGAGCGGGCGGCCGAACCCTTGCGTCACGCTCATTACGGGGCCCAATGCCAGCGGGAAGACGGTGTATCTGAAGCAGGTTGGTGGGGGTGGGGTGGGGGGTTGGGGGGGATGGGAAAGGGGGGTGAGGGGTGGTTTGTGTGTGGGGTGTGTGTGTGGGGGGTGGGGGTGGATGGGTGTGGGAGGTGGGGGTAGGTAGGGAGGGAGGTGGTGGGGATTGTGTGTGTGTGTGTGTGAGGGGGGTTGTTTACATGTATATATGTATGTGTATATGTATGTGTGTGTGTACGTGTATGTATGTATGTATGTATCTGCGAGTGTGTATGTCTGAGAATAGGCGACATGTTACCATAAAAAAGATCGATTACCAATTAACGAAGAGACACAAAAAATACAACTACCTGTAATCACACTGGGTAATTTTCCTAATTCTGTAATTTGTGGTTTTGTATATTTCATGGGTGGCCTTGAGTTGTAATGAATAATTTTGATAAATAATGAAGCTTAATGATAATCAAAGGGAATATAGACCTAGTGGACAGAGAAGAACGGAATATCGGTGTAATATATTTTCGTTACTTAATAGGGAGAGTTAATATACAAATTAAAGCCCACCCACAAGAATATAATTAATTTACCTGTTGATTCTGACCATTGCGGTGCCTCATACCTTATTCTGATGCCTTATACCCATGTGCCCTGGTATGTAGCCCAGTGTCTCATACCCTATTCTGATGCCTTATACTCATGTGCCCTGGTATGTAGCCCAGTGCCTCATAACCTATTCTGATGCCTTATACCTCATGTGCCCTGGTATGTAGCCCAGTGTCTCATACCCTATTCTGATGCCTTATACTCATGTGCCCTGGTATGTAATCCAGTGCCTCATACTCTCAGGCCTAATATGTAATCCGAAGTGGCATACCCTCATGCCCGATGTATTTCATGCCTCATACCGATATGCGTTATCCGTAACATGTCTTATTCCTCATGTTTATTATATAACATAATAGTCTTATATCCTTATGCCCATCATACAAATTTCTCGTAATACAGTACCACATATCCTCACGCCCACATATAACACAGTACCTTATATCTTTCCCACATGCCTACACATGATACATAATACCCCATACCCTTCTCCCCCCTCCTTTATACCCACACGTATCACAGTTCCCCACGCCCTCATAGGTGGGCGTGATCGCGGTGCTCGCTCAGATTGGGTGTTGGGTGCCGGCCGCCCGTGCTCGACTCCGCCCCTTTGACGTCATTCTGGCGGTGACGCAATCGACCCCGGCTGTGACGTCATCGCTTTCCGCCTTCATGCTTGACCTGACGCGGGTAGGATGCTGTGGATTTGTTTTTTTTTTTTTTTTTTTTTTTTTTTTTTTTTTTTTTTTTGGTCGGGTTGGTTTATGAAAGATTTGTCGTTTTGTTGTGTTTTCGTTTTGGGGTTTATGAGGTTTTGTTGTTTATTGTTTTGGTTCGATTTTTTTTGTCTGGTTGGTTTATGAAAGACGAGTTTTATCGTGTTTTCATTTTGGGGTCTATTAGGTTTTGTTGTTTATTGTTTTGGATCTATTTTTATTTTCTTCGTTTTTTTTATCTGTGTTTGTTTGATTATTTCATAGTATGATTGATTTCTGTGTTTATTTATTCATTTTTTTTAATTTAGATCAGTAGTTCCCAACATTTTGTCTTCTGTGGCTCCCCGACCGATGAATAATACTCTCGGCGCCTTTCAGATTCAGCTATTACTAGTTAATTGTGCCAATAGCCGTAGGACGCGAGCACTATATGGAACGATTACTATTTATTGATATTAGGGTTAGGGGAAAATCTGTAGTTAATGGAGGGCATTATATCGACGTGCAGTAATGGAAGAGGCAGATGCTGGTGTCGCCGGGAGAGGCAGAAGTCCCCTTTAACTCGGTTGTAATTTTCATGTTGATTCGTGGACGCCCGGACAGTGTTCAGGTTTAGACGTTTTTAAACATTATTTTGCTCCATAAAAAAAACATAGATAAAATTATAAGGATGCTAGTTTTATTGAATCTAATCTGATCTCTTAGGAGAATCTTTTCACGGCCTTTTCTATCACACAAAGGCAACTGCTAACGCGTTCCCCCCCACCGGCAGATGTGCGGCGCCCTGGCCCGCGCCACCCGCCACTCCCTCGTCATCATCGACGAGTTCGGGGCGGCCACCTACGAAAACGACGGCGCGGCCCTCCTGACGGCGTGCCTCGACCACTGGGCCGAGCGCGCCCGCGTCCGTCCCCGCAGCGCCTCCTCCTCCTCTCCCTCCTCCTCGCAAGGGCCCGACGAAGGACCCCAAGGACGCGAGGAGCGGGGGGGAGGGGGGGATCCTCTGGGGGCGCCGCCGCACGTGTTCGTCTCGACGCATCTGCTGCAAGTTTACGATCACCTGCAGTATCCCGAGGCCGTGAGATGCCTGGCAAGTGTCACGTCTGGGCCAAACGTGTCCTTGGATAAATATGTATCAATGCGATCTAAGTATATATTTTTATTCCATCTCAACATGTATAAGTAAATAAAATAACCAAGGATTTAGATAAACCAATGTGATTTAAGTATATATGTA